AGCAGCCGGGGCAGGGGGCCGGGGTTAGCACCATTTGACGTAAGGTTTCTCTCGGGGTCAGTGCCCGGGACGAGGGGGTGCAGCGCTGCCAAGGTGGGGCATCCGAGCAGGGTGGAGGGGTGCGAGCAGGGTTAAGGGGGGTGACACCGGAGCGCCCTTCACAGGCACCCCTTCAGCTGCCCCAGCAGTCCCCGTGCCATGGGGGGCGGCTGTGCAGCCCCTCGCTGGCTGTGGGGTACCATAGTGCTGAGCCCCCACCCCTGCTGGCAGGCAGAGCAGCTCCTGGGTAAGTGCACTTGGTAGCGCCTGGGCAGGGGGGGGAAGAGAGAACTGGGCAGAGCCCCCTGGCTCTGGGGGCACCCCAGGACCCCACGCAACTGGCAACCCACCCATGTGGGGCAGGAGGTGCCTCCCACCGCCTTCCTGGGGTGAGGGGCTGAGCAGCACCCCGTAGGGCGGCTGGGGGAGCAGGGCTCTCCTGGAGAAGGGGTACAGTCCGTGGAGTTGCCCTCCCTGGTCCCTGCCGCCCCAGGTGCAGGGTTAACATCCACCCCCACCCTGTGCTGCTGTGGGGTGCCCCCACCTCACCCCAATACTGCCCCAGCTCTGGGGACGTTCTCCCAGGGCCAAATCCTGCTCCCCCCTTTCCCATTTGCCCTCCGCAGTTTTTGGACTGGGTACCCCCACAGCACTCCCCTCCCGTGCCTGCAGACACGGCCCCGGCCGCATCCCCATCCCCAGTGGGGTGGGCGAGGGGCTCAGTGGGGGTGCGGGGTCACTTCTCCGTCAGCGAGAGCTGCAGGATCCGCTGCAGATCCTCCTCCTCCTGGCGCGTCCGGCGCTCCGCTTCCTCCTGCTCCCGCGCCGACAGCGCCATGGCCAGGCGCAGCTGCTCGGCGTAGCTGGGGAACAGGGCCCTGGGCCCCCCACCACCCCCCGGCGACGGGGCCACGGGGGGATGCGGGGATGCCGTGTGCTGGGGAGTCCTGGGGGCGGCAGGGACTCAGTGGGGTCCCCGTGGCTCCAGCCCCCACTCCCACTCCCCCCACGGGGGCTGGCCGGACCTTACCAACCTGTCTCCCCGGCGGCCCTCGTGCGACATGGGGTGCGTGCCCGGCTTGCTGTTGGTCAGTGCTTCCCAAATGGTCACCTGTGGCCGGTGCCAGAGGGGTGCTTGGAGGGCGGCAATCCCAAAAACCAGCCCCCCCAGCACGAGCTCTGACCCGCCACTGTGGGATGCAGGGATGGGGAGACGTGGGGTGAGTGAGGATCCTGGGTGGCGTCGGGATGGGGTGGGCAGCGGGGTCCCTCAGCCGGGGGTACAGCAAGAGGTGAGGGGGTGGCAGTGCCCACCTGGTCATACTCGCTGCCCGCTTCCAGCAGGCTCTGCTGGATGGCAAACTGCAGCAGGTCATCCTCGTCCTCCCGCAGGGCGTCCTGGTGGGTGCCCACCACACTGTACCCCTGCGGCACCTCGAACAGCGCCGGGTCCATCTCACACGCTCGGCACGAGGCTGTGCGGAGAACAGAGCTGGCCTGGCTGAGCACGCTGTGGGACCCCCTCCTGTTGTGTGTCCCTTACCCTGCTGTGACCCACAGCCACCAGCTGTAACCCCAGACCCCGCTGGGACACCTTCCCATCCCACCTCACCATGTCGTCCCCCACATACTCAGGGAGCTGGAGCTGCTGACACTGGAGGAGTCGCTGCTGGGTGAGGGTGCCTCGCTGCTGGGGCTGTGCCGCAGGGAGCTGACAGGCTCGTCACACCCATTGAGGTTGCCGAAGGTTATTCGGGCGTTGAGGATATGGAAGATGGGGATTTCTGCAGGAAAAGGGAAAAAAAAGTGAGGAGGGAAGCTGGCTGTGCCAGCCAGGTCAGCAGCAGAGCCCAATCCATACCGATCTTGACAGGGAAGCCGGGCGGGAGGCGCAGGGTGATGAAATCCCGCAGTTTGGCGAAGAGCGCGTTGCTTATTGCCATGAGGTCGATGATGGGGGCAACCTGCTCGCAGAGGGACAGCGGGTGGTCCTCACACAGCCACAGCTTCGCCTTGAACCTGCCAGGGACAGGCGTTGGGCTGGGGACCCACCCCTACCTGTCCCCCCACCCCAAGCCCTGCAGCAGTGGAGGTGGGGACACAGGGAGTCCCCGTCTGCTCCTCCCCCTCTCACTTCTGTGTCTTGGTGGTGAGCTCCATGGGCCGTCCCATGTCCCGGTTGCCCAGCTCAAAGTTGGGGTTGAAGTACTCCTCAGGGGTGATGGCGGTGGGGTTGGCGTGGCTCAGTGTCTGCGTGATCAGTGTCTGCATGGGGGGACAGCCCTGCAGGGTGAGAGGGGAGGTCTGACTGCAGGGCCACCCCCTCTGACCCCTGAAACACTCACCCCATTGTTGGGCCCCACGTGCTGCTCAGCGATGCCCAGGAAGGATTGCAGGGGGGTCTTACAGCCTGCGGGAGAAGAGGGGGTGAGGGCAGAGCCAGAGGTGCCCTGCCCACCCAGCCCGTGCTGGTTCCACCTTTGCTCTTGCCCTTGTGCTGGTCTGAGAGGTGCTCGGTCCGTGTCCGTGTGATCAGCTCCACGTTGGAAGCACCATAGACCTGACCGAGGAGGGGAGAATGGCAGAGGTGGCCACCTCACCTCACCATACCCTCCTGGGCAGCTCAACCCCCTGCCCCTCACCTTGGCCTCATACCCATTCACCATTTCTGTCTTCTCGCTCCTCCAGCCCAGGATCCCGGACTTGTTCCTGGGGTGACACAGCACCGTGAGCTTGCTTGGACAGCCTGGAGTGCCATCACCCCCGGGTGTGGGCTCGGTGCCACCCCAGCCCACCTCTCGAAGGCGATGTTCTTGGTGTCGAGCTGGGTAGTGACGACGGGGGCCGTCAGCCGCCCCATCACCTGCTCCTCGGTGGGCTGCACAGCAGCCAGCAGCACCTCCTGGTCGTGGCCAGCCAGGGCCAGCGTCTCTGAGTAGACCACCCGCCTGTCATGGTCAATCTCCATCACCACCGCACTGCTGTCTGCAGGGAATGGGGTCAGGACAACCACGGTGCCCACCGGCTCACCCAGCAGCACTCCCCAGGGAGGGGGATGTGCTGGTGTCACCTCACCTTGTCCCCGAAAGACAAAGCTGCGGTTGCCCCGCTGCCAGGTCATGTGGTCGAAGCCCAGCAGTGTGGTGTCCACCCGCAGGTTCTGGCCACTCTTCCACACCTTGTAGGTGTCGCTGGGGCAGATCTTGGACACCAGGGGCACTGGGGAGAAATGCTGATAGCCCAGCTGGGGATGGGGATACCTGCACCCCAAGGGGTGAGGGACGCAGCTGGGGAACGCGATGCCTTGGCGGGATGGGGGTCTGCAAGCTTGGGGTGTCGGGGCACAAGGGGGCAGGTGACCCCCAACCTGGGGATGGACACTGGGGCTGGGAGACTCTGGTGGGAAATTCCTGCTCCCCCCACAGCCATGCTATGGCCTGAGCTCACCCCAGCTGGTGAACTCCCACTTCATCTCCACGTAGAAGTCCTGGGCCTGTGGAGAGCACAGAGGGGTCAGGGGACGCCCGTGGCTGCAGCCCCGCAGCCCCTGCTGAGGGAGGTACCTTGCGCAGCTTCTCCAGCAGGACAGGGATCCCGGCCAGGCGCTTGATGGCTCTCTGGTAGTCACGGTAGCGCAGGACCAGCTGCACCAGCTCCAGGTCACGGGTGCTCACAGCCTCCTGCAGGACTGCGGGGCAAAGGGGCAGTGCCCAGGGCACAGCATGGCACTGCAGAGCTGGGCACTGCAGAGCTGGGCACTGCACAGCATGGCACTGCAGAGCTGGGCACTGCACAGCTGGGCACTGCACAGGAGCCACAGGCACAGAGCACTGCGTGAGCAGCACCAGGGCAAGCACGACCACACCTGCACCCGTGTCCTTGTCCACATCTGTGTCCATGGCCATGCCCATCTCCACGGCCATCTCAGCGTCAGGACAGCCTGCAGGAGGAAAGGGGGCAGCAGCCACCCGCTCACCTGTCCATCCGCTGCGGTTCTCCTTGCCCACGTCGGCACCATGCTTCAGCAGCACCCTGGCACACTCAAGGTGGCCCAGCGTGGTGGCCAGGTGCAGGGGAGTGCGTCCTCGGGGGTCCAGCTGCTCGATGTCGGCCTGCCAGGAAGGAATGAGGATCTGAGATCACTGGGGTGGCCAGACCTTGCTCTCCAGTGCTGTCCCACAGGTGTGCAGCTCCCAGACATGGAAAGCAGCCAACATTTGATAGTGTTTGTGAGAGAATCCCCACCCCTGACCTCCCCAAATAGGGGCACCTCAAAAGCCTCTCCCTGCTGCCACTGCCATGCATGAAGAGGGCATGGAGAGCATGGTGGTGGCACCCAGCACCTCTCCTCACAGCCAGGCTGGGCTGCACCCACCAGACGGGCACAGAGCACGGGCACAGCATGGCAGTGTGGGGGGAAACAGATGCCCCTGGCATAAGTGCATGCAGCTCTGCACATCTCGATGCAGCTGCAAGCTCCAGAAAAGCCCCCACCTCTGGGATTTGGGGGGGTTGTGCCCAGTTGCCAGGCAGCAGCTGCTGGCAGCCCCCCTCCACCAGGGCTGGGAGCGCGGCGGGCGACGTGGGCTGCGGCGGGTGCACGTGTTCCCCTGCCTGAGCCGGGGGCGGGCGGCTGCGGGAG